GTGCTAGGTGAAATGTGAAATCTGCTGAGTTTCTTGCCATGGACTACTTGACTCTGAAAGCCAGAGCGCCATCCTACAAAGAGAGTCTGGGACCAAGCTGCTCAGGCTGGACCTGAGTTTGGGATGTTTTTGCCTCCACTTTTCAAAGTGCTCAGGTAGGGGCTTGGGAGATGGCTCAGTAGAATAAGCGCTTGCCTGGCAAGCTCAAGGGCCTGAGTTCAATCCCCTGTTCTGCCAAAAAAAAAAAGTGCTCAGGTTATAGATGTGTACCACAACACCCATCTTAGTGCCTGCCTTTCTTTCTTTTCTTTTCTTTTTTTTTTTTCTTTTTAAGATAACAGACATAGGTGAGACTACATGGTTGCCCATATCTTCCTTGGGCTATATATAGTACAATTCAGGGGCTGGAACCCAAAGAGCTTCTTTCAGGGTTCAGTGCATGCTGGCTGGAGCACACTCACTTTGCATGTCTGCCGGGCAAGTGCAACGATCTGGGTTCGATCCCTGGTACTACATGCTGCACCAGCCACAGAAACTGAACGTAGTGGTGCATGCCTGTAATTCCAGCACTGGGGAAGCAGGCTGAGACGTGTAACAAGACCTCATACCAAATAAATAAAGATTAAAAAAAAAATAGCCTTGAAAAGGGAGCCTTTCCCCACTGTCAGTGGGAGTGTAGATTGGTGCATCCACTGTGGAAATCAGTATGGAAAGCAGATTCCTCAAAACACTAGAACCAGAGACTCCAGCTGTTTCCTTTCTTGTACCTCCCACAGAGAATTAGAAACATCACCCTGCAGCTGTACATGCACCCCTGAGTTTATCGTGGCCGCAGTTTGTCAGAGCCAAATCCTGGGGAGGGCCCACGGGCCCAGCACCTGATGAATGGATAGCCATGTGGGATTCTTGTACACTGGAGTACTACTCTGCCATAGAGAAGGACAAACCTTCGATATCGCTAGGTAAATGGATGCACCTTGAGGCCATATGCTTAAGTGAAATACATCAGACACATGCTTTACTACCACTCTCGCCCTGATGTGAGAAACTGAGAGTGCAAATAAGGACCCAAATGTGTAACAGATATTGCAAAATGGGAAGACAATGTTCAAATGAAAAGGGAGACAAGTTGATAAAACTTGGGCTGGAGATGAAAGGATAAAGAAAAGAGAACAGAAGGGGGAAAATGGAAACAAAACTGTTCTATGAAAGCAGGGGAGGGATGGCAAATAGCTCAGTGGATTAAAGTGCCTGCAAGCAGGTGCAGGGGCCAGGGGTTCAATCCCCAGGCCTGCCATGCCGGCCCCGACCCCAGGACGCACTGAGACCACAATTGAGACTGGGTGTGGTGGCATGCGCCTGTAATCCCAGCTCTTGGGAGGCTGTAAATAGGAGAATCACTAGGAGTCTAATCTAGTAGTGAGACCCTAAAGGCCCTGTAGACCCTTCCCTAAAATTTTAAAAAAACAAAAAACAGGCTGGGGACATGGCTCAGTAGAATAAGCACTTGCCTTGGCAAGCGCAAGGACCTGGGTTTAATCCCCTGTACCTCATGCTGTGCTGGCCCCAAAACTGGGTGTGGTGGCACACATCTGTAATCCCAGCACTGGGCAGGCTGAGACAGGAGAAACACTATGAGTTTGAGCTGTGTATCGAGACCCTGTACCAAATAAATAAATAATTTTACAAAAGAAGCCGAATGACAGAAATGGGCAGAAGTTCTCTGAGTTTTAAGGAATACTGTCCTCAATATTCTATCAATTGGTCTGAAATTGTTGAGAATGAACTCCAAACCACACCTTTCCTTTTCTTTTTCCTCCAGTGAAGTAAACCTGGTTCAGGGAAGTTCTTCTGAACACCATCCCAGAGGCTGCTGGGGAAAACCTTGAAGTCAGGAGGCCAGGAGCCTGCAGGGACTCCCGCCATCCTGCTTCACACAGTAAACAACAGAAGCTGCCCCAGCCCTGAGTGGAGCAGCAGATGGCCTGGGGCACCTGGAATCCTGTGGGCACCCTAGGGTGGGCCGCGCTTGGCAGCCGTGGTCCCTGCCCTCCCTCCCTGATGACAGTGCTTCTGTGTGGTGCCAGGTGAGGCCGGCAGGGAGAGGAGAGGGGAGGGGAGGGGAGGAGAGGGGAGGGGAGGGCAAAGGGGGAGAGAGGGGAGGGGGGAGGGGCCAATGGTCAATGGTCGGGAGGCCAACAGGGCAGGTCCCAGCTTGCAGCCTCGCCCCACACTTCCTGCAGGTCTGTACCGCTGGCTGTGAGCTCCTTGGGTTTCCAGCCAGCTGCCTCTGCCAACTCTGGTTTGATGGCAAGAGAAGTTCCCTCCTCTGCCCCTCCATGCTGACAGTTGAGATTCTCACTATGTTCTACTCATTTCAGTCGCAAGTAGATGGGCTGGGTGGCCGGGGGCCCACACAGCTGCCTGAGTTGAAATCCTGGTTGCACTACAAGGCTTTGTAACCCTGGGCTAGTTACATAACATGAGCCCTCAGTTTCCTTATCTGTAAAATGGGACAATGGTATTTACCTTTAGGAATTATATTACATTTATAGTTTAAGAAGACTCACACATAAAAAGTGTACTAAAATACAGCTGGCAGACAATACATTTAGTATAATTATTATTATTTTTTTTTTGGCAGAACTGGGGATTGAGCCAGGGAGATGGCTCAGTGGAATAAGTGCTTCCCTGGCAAGCGCAAGGGCCTGAGTTCAATCCCCGGTTCCGAAAAAAAAAAAAAAAAAAAAAGAACCAGGGATTGAACTCAGGCCCTTGCACTTGCCAGGGAACCGCTTATTCTACTGAGCCATCTCCCTGGCCCAACATTTACTATTATTTCAACTCCTTATTTTGCCTATTGTGTTTCCAAAAACAAACAAACAAACAACTGATGAAATTTCACCTGCTGTTTTATCTCTTTCCCACCAAGGAACTGGCTGAAGACAGGCAGCCAGAGGCAGGGAGGGAAGCATACAGCCCAAGAACCTGAGGTGACCTAATGTGACAGACAGAAATGGACTCTTGGACTTCTGGAAAAATAAACCTGACCTTCCTCCTAAATGGTCCTTGTGCTTGGCACCTGGTGCCACTGAGGATAGAAAGGTGCTGACGGCAAAGGCTCTATCCACCCGAAGGAAATGACTCTAATGTACGCACAAAACATTCATTCATCTCAACCACTCCCAGGGTAGGACTGCCAGCGCTGGCAAGGACATCGTCGGCATCCTGGCCTTACAGAAGGAAGGCCTCTTGTGACCAAGTGCACTAAATGTGCCGGGCACGTGCAGAGTGGACAACAGCCCTTCCTCCACCCAGTGGGCAGCTCCTCTGCTGGAAGCAGCGTTGCTGTGCACATTTTGCAGATTTGGAAACTGAGGCTGCAAAGGTTAAATTGTGTGTCAGGTTTCCCGGCCAAGTAGGTGGCAGTGTCGTACTTGATTAACGTGATGGCCTCTGAGGTTTATTTTTCAACAGGCAATGGAGGGAGGCTGAATTCAGTCCAGCCCACGCTGCTAGCCAGATCACCTCCGCATCTGCCTTCACAACACCTCCATCACTAACCCACGAATGACACAGGCGCTGGTGAGAAGGCCAAGTCTGAGCAGAGACTGACAGCCTCTTAGGACTCAGCCCACCCAGGCCTCCCAACTTCACCCCCCACACCCCAGCCAACGGGGCTTCCTGCTGTTTCCAGGTGGATTCGCCGGTGCTCCCGCCCATGCCTGTCTGCTCCCCCTCGCAGCCCCCAGCAACCAGCAAGAGCCCCTCCCTTCATGAAGGCCACCAGCGACTGGAGCCCTGGGCAAGGCGCCTGATCCCACCCCTCCCCAGAAGGGGTGCGGAGCCCCTGCGCTCCCAGCACTTGGCTCGCGCCTGCTCAGCTCCCCGCTCCCACTACAGCAACTCACTCTAACTCATTTGTTGTCCTCTTTCCTCTGGTAATTCTCAGACTGTTTAGCCTGGGGCCTGTGCGAATGAGTCAGGTTCACTTATGGTTTCCGGAGAGGAACAGGAAACACCACATTATTAACAGTGTCTTATTTGCATCGCTCCCCCACACTTCCTGCAGCATGCAGGTTCTCCGCTATGTTCCAGATTCTCTGTGTGTTCATGACATACATGCACACTGCCAGGGAGGATCCTGGCTGGGCCACTTTAAATTCCCAATTTACACTGAAGACTAATCTAGTCAGGTGAGGTGGCGCACAGCTGTGGCCCCAGCCGCACGGGAGGCTGAGGCAGGAAGAATGCTTGAGACCAGGAGTCTGGAACCAGCCTAAACCACCCAGTGAGATTCCATCCCAATGACTACAAAAACCGGTCCGGGAATATAGCCCAGTGACAGAGCAATTGCCTAACACGCATGAGGCACTGGGTTCAGCCTTTAGCATCAGAAAAACAAACCAACCCAAAAGCCCTAACTCATATGAGAGACAACAACTTTCCTTTAACACCGAATTCAATTTCCACTCGTCTCTACACTTGAACCTGAGGGGTTTTTGTCATGCTGGGGGTGGAACCCGGGGCACTGCACTTTAATAAGCACTCCTTCATAAAAGTGCTCAGTCAGGGCTGGCCAGAAAGCTCAGGCAACTGAAGTGCCTGCTTAGGCAGGCGCAGGGACAGGGTTCGGTCCCCAGTGTGCAGTGCTGGCCCCACCCCTGGGGTGCAATGAGGTGGTGATTGGGATTGGGCATGGTGGTGCCCACCTGTAATCCCAGCACTTGGGAGGATGAAAACCAGAGAATCAGTATGAGTTCAATCTGTATAGCGAGACCCTGTAGTCTCTACACTAAAACACATTTAAAAAAAAAAAGGAAGTGCTCAATCACTCAGAGCAGGGATGGAAAACCTTTTAGCCCTTTCAATGATAACAGCCTGCTGCGGCACACACGCCATCGGTCCTCCACTGCTGGCTTAGAAGACCACCAGGCTTAGTTCTCTGTGAAATAGCTCAGCACCAAACGTGAGGAAAACTGCGTTAGGTCATTTCTTACCTGGATCCAATGACATCGAAAAGATGTTGCCAGCGATCACTGATCTTGTGGAGCTTGTCACTGACCTCAGCGGCCCTCGCCGTGCTGCTGGCCTTGATGAGCTGGTCGCCCATTCGCTGTAACTGCAACTTGTTGTCACTGAACAAGTTTATCTCTTCCATGCAGTCCTGGCCGAGGCACCCAAACACAGACAGGAATTATTAGTCTAAATTCATTTCTTCTCCAGCCACAGACACACAAATGCCTCTTAAACTATTTTTTACATTAAGAAATTCCTCCACCTGTTAATGGTTAGTGAGTCACTACAGGCCTGGGGGTCCCTCCAGGCAAATGTGAAGGGCAAGAGGCAGCAGCTCTCTTCTTAATGCGACAGCCTCTCCACTTCCCCTCACGGACGTCTTCTGATCTACTTGGGAGCTGAGGGGACCCGGACAAAACGAAGGCTGGTGTGGGAAGTTTCCCTAGGCCTGGCTGAGGGTGTTCTGGGCAACTGAGGAGAACCCGGCACTACCTTTCCCTGTGGCGCCAGCGGCCCACAAACCCAGCAGCCCCACTGCTGTTGGCCTCTGCCTGTGGCTTGGGTTCCCCTTCAATGTCACAGAAACCACCACTGGCGTGCAGTGTGGAGGGCGTGTCAGGAGACGTGAGGACGTGAGCCCCTTCTCCTGCCAGACTGACTTCTAGAGAAAGTGGCCCTCCCTGCACGGGGCTTCCCTGCTACAGCCCCACATGTTCATGGCTCCAGAATCTTCTTCAACTTTTCCCTCAGTAGGATCAAAGACAGTGAGAAGATCCTTTCACACTGCTGGATGTTCCCTTGGACACACACACGACACTATCCCCCTAAGCCTGGCACCGAGGAGGGCGAAGTTCGCCTGCACCTGGGCACCCCCTTACCTTCTGTAACTTCTCAATCATTTCTTCGATGCTAATATCCGCTGTCTGTAGAACTTTGTTTTCCATCTGCACCAGCCATGCACACAGCTCTTTATTTTTTTCATTGAACTCGATCCATGAGTGGAGCCTGTCCTCGATCTCCTGTTTGCGGGCGGCCACCTGTGTAACAGCACACCCGCAGCTGAGGTGAGCTGGGGAGTACATCCTGTCTAGCCTCACCCAAAGGATCTTGAGTCTCATTCGTTTTGATTGGCGTCGCTATAAAATCAAATCTCTACGTTTTGTTTTCTTATAATGTAAACAGAAATTTTCTGGCCTTTTGGTAACTGCCATAAAAGTAACCAATACAGTTCACAAATTTTACCAGACTGAAAAAGATTTTTACCCAAGTGCATCTACTACTATCGTCATATTAAAAAATAGAAACAAAGATTTGGTAAATACATATCACCCAAATTCGTTTCTTGTTCTACTAATACATATTTATTGTTTATCATATGCTAGTTTATGTTATGGCCTAAACCCTTTTAAAAACTGATCAAGCCATTAGACAGCCATTTAAGGTCAATATCTTGTCTATTGAATTTAAAAACTATGATCCAGATCATAAAATAAATTAAGCATTTGTAATGAAATGCACCAAGAAAATAAAAAGCTTTTGAGTATTTGACTTCAAAACAAAACAAAGCAAAACTAGGAGTGATGCCCACTGTTCAGTTCACCCAACTTCCCACTGTACACTCCATCTTTTGAAGGGCCACAGAAATGTCATAAAAAATACTGTAGCGCAGGCAAGCTGAGCCCAAACACCTGCAGTTCAGCTATGCATGAGGAGCCCCTTCAGGTTGAAGCACGTTACTAAAATAAGTTTAAATAATGCAAATCAGTCTTACTGAATGAACAAAGTACATTTGGGTCTTAAAAAATTAAAATCTTAAGAGTTCTTCTGGTGAGGTTTTAATGCCCTACTTACCATATTCAAGCACTGGGATCGAACCCAGGGCCTTGCACGTCCGAGACTGCACTCTCTTGTACTCCCAGATCCAGTGCCTCACTTTGACAAAGGTGAAAGCAAGAGTAAACCCCTCGGGTTTTCTTGCTGTGTATACAAACCAAACAAAACTCCAAAAATACCTTCTGTTTTTCAGAGTGAGGCAAAAATACCAAATGCTTCTACAAGAAAATCTGTTCCTAAAAAACCACCTTTTTGTTTCCATTCTTCAGGGCATCTGTTTCCCTTCACTTTCAAACTCCTGGCGCTGTGCACAGGCCCCTTCTGATTGACTTCAGAATGGTAACAATTAGGAACATCTGGTCCCCACTCTGCTCCTACCTTAACTTAGGAATTATTTTCACATACACTACACATTTTCTCTCATAAAAAGTTGAATAAGAAAATCTTTTTTAAAAATGACACTTACAATTAGGGTACATTGTGATGACTATATTCTAAAATCAATTAAGTCCTTGAGAGGTGTTTTTACTTCAAGGGTCTGGCTTTCAACATTCTAAACACACTTAATTCACACAAAAAAATGAGATTAAGGAATTTATCCTCCTTAGAATTGTATGTTCTTAAAACAAACATCTTCATACAGACTACTCGAATCCTTCATTTCCATCTCGAGTCTGTCACAAACAGGAGCTGTGTACTTCTCCTGCCAGGGTTCCTTTCTTGGTAGGTAGATGTGATGGGGGAGACAGCACAACCAGTGCTCAGGACTTAAGTTTCAGAACCCAACCTCTGGAGATAAATCCTAGAGGGCCCCTGCCTGTGGCACTAGGATCCCTGCTGCTCTGCACCGCCCCCATCCTTGTCACCTATGGGAGTCACAGGGCAAAATCTGCTCACCACTGCAATTTTTCTCTCTGCTTAAGGCGAATTTTTGAGAGCCCTTTGAAAGTGTGCAAAGTTCTCTCATTCAGGGCTGTTGAAACAAAAGGGTCAAATGCCTAGTTCTACAGCGCACAGCAACCAGCAACCAGAGGTGCTGGCAAGCACCTCTGGCTCCCCCAAAGGAATCTGCTTTTTACTCAGCCTGGCCTTTGAGACACGCGGTGGTCTGCCAGCCTCCCGGCCTGTAGCTGACTGACTTACTCTGAGGCAGAGGTCCTCCCATTGTCTGTGCAAGTGCTCAATCTGCTCTTGCAGGGCCATCGCGTCCTCAGCGAGAACATGCACAGCGAGGTCAGCCTTCATGGTGTGAAGCTCTTTCAAGTTTTGAGTCCAGTTAGCCAAAGACTTCTCTAGTTCCTGCATGCAAGCACAAGAGCGGCGGGGCAGTGAAGGCCGGAGCTCACGCTGCTGCTGTTTGCAAACCTGTAGGCTCCCGCTTTGATTAGCTCTGGGGGAGGGGAGGCCGGGAAGGGGAGGGACCTCAGGAAAGAGAAGCCATTGCCCATCCCGCCAGCGCGCCTTCCTCGCCTTCCTCACAGAGGGTGCTCCTCCACCCCAGTCCCTTCCTCAGGCAGGTCGGGTTCCTACAGGATTCATTCTTTTTGACACCACAGAGGTGACTGTTAGCCTAGATCACTTCTACGTGGAGTACAGAGTTTACCAACAATCTCCACGCATATTGTACTGGATGAAGTAAGAATACCTAAAACAACGCAGGCTGGGGCTGTGACCACAACTGCGGTTCCAAGAGAATTATTTTCAGTTAACGATCTAAAAACCAATAAATAAATGGGAGAAAATATTTTCTCCTGCGTGGGGATGTCTTTTATTGTTCGTTTGTTGTGACCGAGGGCCTCATGCATGCCTCGGAAGTGCTCTACCACTGAACTACCTCAGTCCTTTTTTTTTTTTTTTTTTTTTAATGGAGTGGTTTTCAAAGTAAAACTCTCAGTTTTAGGATGTAATCAAGAAAATTACTTTGGCAGAGAGAAGGTAAAAGGAAATAGTCAAACCACTCAAAAGTCTTTCAGGTTTCACTGTGTATAGTTCTTCATACACGGCATTTAAGGGTTTCCTCTCTGACCTTTCAGCTGAAATGTGAAAGAAGGCAAGTCACTGACACTGGAAATCAGTCTGAAGAGTGGCCACAATAAATGGTTGACGGTCTAGAGAATTCTTTCTGAAGGTTGTGTGCATTCAAATGTAACACTCTTGTCAGAAGAATCTTCATTTGAAACTCTGTTACCCAACTTTAAACTCATGATTCCTTTTACTCTCATGATTCCATCACAGTGTATGAGAACAGATTCAGCACCAGTGAATGGCCACACAACCTGAAGGTGGCCAGCGAGGAACATGGTATTCAGCATGTTGGTCAGGAGACACCTCTTGTACAGGGCCCTCTCAGAATGCTGGCTCTGCTGGCTACACAGTTTGCACGTGGTTTCAGTCACCCACAGCCAGGTTTGGATCAATACGTACAATATTTACAATTGAAGTAATACAGAAAGTACAACTGAGGCCCTGGGGCCACTCCCCTCCCCTCCCCTGAACCTGGGCACCACCCCGTGGCCAACTCCTTGGCCTTTGTCCTAAGGCTTTCTATACAGAGGCAGAGATAAGAACCAAGACCCCTGGAAAACTCAAGATCGTGGGAGTCCAAATGAAGAGGTGCGTGTGCCAGAGTCTCTAGCAGGACCTACAGTAACTTTTCTTTGCTTGGAGCTTATTAAAGGTTCTTGCATATGGACCCCACCTCACCCACTCATAGCACAGGGAATTTGAGAAAGGACATGTGCCACAGATACAGCACCCTGTCAGTCACGCTGCCAGTCATGGTCGGGGAGAGCCAAGGAGAGGTTCCTTACACTGCTGGGCACAACAATTTAAATTCTTAAACCCAATACATTCCACACTCATGCCACTTTCCTTTCCACCATCCAGTTCTCCATGGCCTTGTTAAACTTTGCTGTTTCTTGCCTCATCACTGTGTGCCAAGTCCAGTCCTTTATTTCTCAGGCACAAGAACCTAGAAACCTATCCAGGACCCCATGGCCCATGCCACCAGAAAGGGGTAAAGTCTATTTTTTGGTGGTGCTGTGTGTGGATGGAAGCCAGGCCCTTGCACTCGGAAGAGCATTCTACGATTGAGCCAGGATGGAGGACTTTTGAATATGGGCAATTCTATATTTTTTTAATGAATACTGCTAAACCCTATCCCCAAAGGAAAGACTATACATCTTTTTCTACATATTTTTCATTTTGAATTCTACATATTTTGGGGCAAGTTGAATATAGAGGAATGAAAAGTAGTTATTCTTTTTTTTTTTTAAATTTTATTTATTTATTTGTGTGTGTGTGTGTGTGTGTGTGCGTGGCCAGCTCAGCCCACCAGGGGGCGGGGCGGGCTGGCATGTGGTGCTGGGGGATTGAACCACGGTCCCTGTGCTTTGCTAAGCTTGTTCTAAGTAGGTGCTTTAGACCACTGAGCCATCTCACCAGCCCCGAAAAGTAGTTATTCTTTAAGTTTGTATTAATAAAGTGTTAGCCTAGAATGCTACCCAGCTGTCATGGATGAGGTCTAAAACAATGCCCCCAGCTGCATGCTGGGAAACTTTCTTGCCAACCTATGGGCTTGTGGAAGGTGACTAGAGGAGGAAAGCTCACACTTCATCAGTGGACGACTCAGAGAGGGAGCTGAAATTTGAAATGAGAGAGATCAGGTCACCCTCTGAGCTGATGCACAGGTGCTTCTTTCCATAAAGGCTGGAACCCTGTGCAACATGGGAAATGTGACCCTTTGAGGAGACACTCTCTCTCCCAAGGATCACATTCTCCATTTCCAGCAGAACCCTTGCAGCTGCCACCGCCTCTGCATTCCACCTGTCAGCGGAAAGAATCAGACAGGGACAGACAGTACTTGGCCAGTGCAAGCCATGGCCACGCTGCAGGAAGATCGCGAGTAGCCTGTGGCCGACAGCGTGCTGCACCCTCACTTGTGTGGCGGGCCTGCTAGCTGTGTGACCAGCCTGAGCTTTACTGTCTTCCTCCTCTGTACTCCCAGTACAGTCAACTCGATATATGAAACCATTTATGCACACTCTGCACACAGAAATTGAGAATTCCTAATCTGAAAATCTGAAACCCAAAATTAGACAACTTTTTGCAGGATTTTGGAGCAGTTCAGACTTTGGATTTGCAGGGGAGGCATGGATGTTGAGCACACAGTCTACACAAATATTCCAAAGTCCCAAAAATTCTGAAGTGTGAAACACACCTAATCCCGAGCATTTTCGATAAGGGATATTTGACCTGAATGCAGCTGCTTACTGGGAGGGACGGGAAGCTTAGGTGGGACTCACTGAAGAAAGGGGATCCTGGGTGACTACACCTTGTCCCCGCTCTGTCTTCTCTGACCTTGTCTCTCTTACTCTCTTCATGCTTCTCCTGCCTTGGCCTCTTAAGCCTGGGGCACCATGCATGGTGCTGAAGTTTTGGCCATTTTTGTAACATTAGGCTTAGATCATCAGTAGGAAATGAAATTTTCTTTTTTGTTTTTTCAAATTTTTTATTTATTTGTGTGTGTGTGTGTGTGTGTGTGTGTGTGTGTGTGTGTGGCCACCTCAGCCCACCAGGGGGCGGGGCTGGCTGGCATGTGGTGCTGGGGGATTTGAACAGCGGTCCCTGTGCTTTGCTAAGCTTGTTCTAAGTAGGTGCTTTAGACCACTGAGCCATCTCACCAGCCCGGAAATGAAATTTTCACAAATATGATGATATTTTATAATTTAGGTATGGAGGTTTCCCAAAGGAAGAGAGAGCACAAGGCATCTAGGAAAATACTAGTATGTTCACATATATCAAATAACACAATCCCTTGCTCAGTCAATGACACCCCACCCCCACCCCACAAATAAAAGCAGAAAAGCTCAGAGGGGAGAAGACATTTCCAACATGTGCACTCAACGAAGTAATCTTCAGAATAAACAACTTGTTACATCAGTAAGAATAGGACAAACAGAAGAACGTAACAGTAAGTCAAAAATGTAAGTAGGAAATTCACAAAAGGGCAGATTTGAAGGAATAGTAAACAGAAAAAATGTTTAGTTGACCAATAAATGACAAAAGAGACATAATCTCATCTCACTTGGATCAGACTAGTAAAAGTTTTAAAAGAAACCCTGGAAGCACCAAGTGATTGCAGAGGAGATCCATAAACTGCATTGTTTCCACACAACGCACGCTACCCAGCAATGAGAACGAAGGGGCTCTAGGTATCAACACTGAGGACTCACAATTACCAAGAAATAAGTGGCACAGATGTGCCACACAGTAAGGCTCTACTTATATAAAGCTTAAACCCATAAAGCAATACTTCCACATTACATAGAGAGCTACATCATGGTGTTGTCAAGCTATAAAGAAACACAGAGAATGATAAACCCCAAAGTCGGGGGCGGGGTGGACAGTTTGGGAAGGGAAAGGGCATTAGAGATTAAATGGTGCTTGGTAAGGGATACTTCAGCTAATTCCTAATGTTTTATTTTTTTAGCTGGTGATAGCTGTGTGGCAGGTTTTTTTTTTTTTTTTAAACACATTTTTACAGGAAAGAAAAACAATGTAGGAAGGACATTAATTGCTGGCATAGCTTCAAGCCTAAGACTATTTATCTCTCCTTTATTTTTTCAATTGGATTCCTAAAGTCACTGAAGGAAGAAAAGAAAAAAAAAAAAAAAAGAGCCTGCCCATGGGCTTTTGATGTCTTTTTAACACATGCAGATAAGAAAGAGAGGCAGGGAGTTCCTGCTGTCCACATTCGCATCTGCAAGTCTGTCTCAAGCCCTGAGTATCCCGGAATGTTGGCTGTGTGTTACTGGAGAGGTCAGATATGGCTTGGAAGGTCTTATAAAAATACTGTACTTGAAAAAAAAAAATCAATCTACTGGTTTTAAAAACAAATCTGTTTGTCATACTTCATTCTCATTTCAAAGATGAGATACGTTTAAGGGCTTTTAAAGTAATCTCAGAGAAGAGAAGCAGCAGATAGAAAGAGGACGTGAAGGAAACAAGCCCCACGGTCCTAACCAGTGAATTTCTGCAAAAGTCTTTCTTGTCTTCATGCAAGGATTGCAAAGGCATTAATCCTGGTTTCTCAGCAGAATGGGAAGTGAAGTCTTTAGACAGATGACAGGAAAGTCTTTTTCAGTTAAATATGAAAATTCAGCTTTAACACAGAAGAAGAAAGGCCAGCACACAGAACAGCTGCAGAACAGCCCACGACTACCCTGACCAGTGGCTCAGGCTGCAGTACCTTCATCCGCTCTTTTTCTTTGTGGAGTTCCTCGTGCAGCTCCGGGAGAGGGCTCTTACTTTGTACCTGTAGAGCTTGCAGCCTGCTTTTGAACTCCTTGATTTTCTTTTCACACTGGTCCCAGGTCTATGTGAAAACACATTAACAGTGGTTAAGGATCTGGCTCTTAGGGATTAACTGTAGGAACAGCATAGCTCATTTAATCCATGCAGTCTTTCCTGTAAACCTGTTTTTGTACACCACTCAGAACCCGGCTCCTTCTCTTGCACAGAGATCGAAACAGCAAAGGGAATGTCAGTCACGGCCTCGTGTGTTCTTGCAGCTTCAGCATGGCTCCTTTCGCTTGGAAATATCTCTTTTTCCCTCACTGATCTACTCTTAGCTCTACTTTAGCGTAGGAGAGGTTCCTGTCTACAAGACTACTCTAAGGATGCACTTTTGGCATCCGCAGTCTTAGGTATAAGCTACAAAATATTCTGGAGGGCGGTGCTGGGGCTTGGAAGGCATATGTGTCCACGTCAGCATCCACGAAAATCACTGGCTACTCTCCTTTATTTCCTTCTAATGTCGCCGCTCTGAGCCTCTCCCTTCCTGTGCCTGGGTTTAGCAGACTGTTTACATTCAGCAGTCAAACTCTAGGCCATCCTCACTGCCCTCTCTGCACAGTTTAAAGGCTACTGTGAGCCTGAAGTCGCTATGCATGCCCAGAGCTCTCGGATGCTGAGGCAGGAGGATGTAAACTTCAGTCCAGTCTGGGTGACTTAGTGAGTTAGCAAGATTCTGTCTCAAAATAAAAACAGAAAATGGGTTGGGGATATGGCTCAGTGCAAAGGCCCTGGCTTCAACCCTCATCACCCCTCCCCCAAAGAAAAAACCCCAAAATCAAAGGGCTCAGAGCACCGCCACGGCCTAGGACAGGATACCAAAAGCCTAGCTGAGTCAGCCAGCTCTCCTCGCGTCGTACACTACAGAGCCAACAGGCGCTTGCGCTCTCAAGCTCAGGCTGTTTGCAGCTGATTTGTTAGATGACTTGATTCCTGAGCTTACTAAAAGCAGAAGGACATACAATGAAACATTCTGGTCCTCAGCACTTCTTTTTTTTTTTCTTTGCGGAACCGGGGATTGAACTCGGGCCTTGCACTTGCCAGGGAAGTGCTTATTCCACTGAGCCATCTCCCCGGCCCCTCCTCAGCACTTCGGATAACTAAACTGGGTGGTCCACACTGAGGGTAGCACCCCACTTCAGTTAGGGCCGCTCATCTAGCAACGTCACCTACGTGGAAGTAAACTAAGAAGAAAGCAAGCAAAGACAGACGCAGCACTGAGTCCTGCCCTCTCCCACCAAGCCTTTTTCTCCACATACTGACTTATCGCGCAAACGCGACAGATGCTCAAGCGGCGTTTGCTAGTTGATAAATTTCACATGGCAGGTTCGCCAAATAAAATTCAGATAGTTTATTCACAGAAGAGACACCCAGGCCCTAACTTGGCATCTGTTTATCTTCATTTGGAAAAGCACGTCCGGAGAGGCTGGGTCTCTGCTCTGGGGGTGCACAACACATCAGAAAGGAGGGGCTCCCCGAGACTGCATTAGCTCAAAGAAACAAAAACTGAAGACAGCCAGCTCAATATTAAGAGAGAAAGAAAACTGTGGAAACGTCCCAGTACTCAAAAAGCATTGGAGAGTCAGGTCGCAGGTTCCACAGCTTGGTATTTGGGCAGAACGACGATTTTTCCCACTGATGACTCAAAACATTTTGATTCCTAAAGGCACAGTCACAAATTATCTGGGAAACGGACTTATTCTGTGTCCTCTGCTGATGAGACCAAGAAGAGCGGCATCAGCGCACTTCTTTTCACACATTATACACCAGGATGGACCAGATGTGGGATGTCGGCTTTATACGTTCGTTTTCCATAGAACGTGAACAAGTTTCATAAAAGTAATTATTTCTCTCTCTTTTTGGGCGGGGTGGGGTGGGTGGGGCTGGGGAATTGAACTGAGGGTCTCTGCGTTACATTCCCTGTCTTTTTTATTTTATGTTTTGAGACAGATTCTCACTAAGTTGCTAGGTTGTCCAGACAGGACATGAACTTGAAATCCTCTTGCCTCAGCCTCCCAGAGTCTTGGGATTACCAGAGTATGCCACCGCACCTGGCTATACTAGCAGTATCTTAGTACTTATATGTTTACCACTGTGTGCTTTCAATGCTATATTATTATTTTATTAAGTAAAGGGCATGACTCATGGATTAGTAGGACTTAAGTTGTGAGCAAACAAAAACCCTAGATTTAAATGTCACAAAAGGAAAAAAGGAACAAGGAGTGGTGGTTCACCTCTACAGTGTTCTGGAGCTGTTTAATCATCTCTCCTAGCTGGAGCTTTGTGTCCTCCCAGTTTTCCCGAAGCTGATTGATTCTCTGGTCAACTGCTTCTTTTGCTTCTGGATCAGGTGAGTTCAGCAACTTCTCCCCGGCTTCCAAAGCCAGTGCATAGGCGGTTTGCCGTCTCTGAAAATGGGTTTCTTTATTCTGAAAAGAAAAAATAAAATGATTTAAACCTCTGATGGGATAGAGATGTGACTGTGTACACATCTCCCCTAGAGCCTTTCCTAAGTATCATACAGACATAATTTAACAAGTCTGATCTTCATTTCTTTTTTTTTAATGTTTTTTTTTTTTTTTGTTTGTTTTTTTGCATTTATTTATTGTGTGTGTGTGTGGCCAGCTCAGCCCACCAGGGGGCGGGGCTGGCTGGCATGTGGTGCTGGGGGATTGAACCGTGGTTCCTATGCTTTGCTGAGCTTGTTCTAATTAGGTGCCTTAGACCACTGAGCCATCTCACCAGCCCAAGTCTGATCATAATGTGCATGTGTGCACTCACTCATACCAACAGCCAACGGTCACCTCAAGCACAGCACACTACCAAATCAGATGTTCTTCAGTAATTTCCAAAGATTCCTATGAGATCAAATTTTTGGTACAATGACTGAATGTTCAGGGAAATTTAAAAAATACGCTTTGCAGAATAAAAGCCTACAAGATCTAAGAGTATCAAGAAAACAATTAGCATATTAGATCTGAAAGGAGGATCATTTATACTGGTTATCACCATGGTAACCCAGAAGAGTAGGATGTGCACAGAATGCTTCATAAATATAAAAGAGAACAAATGCAGAAAGATAAAATACAGCTGCATTTGGGAGTTACATTTTAGATCTAAAACATAAGGGTCAGATCTGTTCAGATCTAAAATGTCCCCCCAAGCACTCATGCATTTAGAAGGTGACCAGACCCTGGGGCTGCCATCCTCAAAGGCTGATTCACCCACAGGAGCATTCATGAGTCAGATGTGTTGTTAGCCGGGGTCAGGGGGCGGAGCCTGAGGGCGCATTCCAGTCTCAGTCCCTCCCTCCTCTCTGCTTTCTGGGGCAGTGGACTGCGAGCCTTTTCCTTGGCTCAGCTGCCTCAGACTCCACAGATCAGGGCCTGAGTCCCTGAGCAGCATAAACCTCTGCCCTCTGCGGTGCAGGTGTCAGGTACTGCTTCTCAGCCATAGGATGTGCCCAAGACAGAGAACTGACGCAAGCCATGTTCTCCGCCTGAAAGCCTTTTCCTTCGGATCTCTCCCTGGCTGGCTCTAGACTATGCCAACCCAATTTAAATACCACAATGGCCAAGATTACCTAAGGCAGTGATGGCAAACTTTTAGCCTGAGTGTTCAACCCACAGCCCCAAACCCATTTTTTAACCACAAGTCCTAAGAGTACAAAAACCTCAATATCACGAGTGGCCACCAGGGCTGCTTGGTCACGTGCCGACAGAGGGCTACGCATCCACAGCAGCACATGTGCCACAGGTTCACCTCCACTGACCTAAAGAAAAGCAGCCCCGGGCCCTGTTTGAATTCTACATATCAGTCTGATCACAATCTGCTACTTTCCTGTTTCTCTCCCTGGCTGCCCAGAGAGCAGGCTTTTCTTCTAGTCCATACAGTGTGCATAGCATTCGGAGCAGTGCCCACACAGAGTTGGCACCTAACGAAGACCTGGGGCCTGGCTAAGTGACCGCGCACGGACTGGCGCTCCAGGTGGCGCTGTTGGGTTTAGCAGTTTCTCCCCAGTGGGAAAGCGGTCCTCGTACCCAGTGGAACACACCACCTACTACTCCACCCCCGGCGCCTCCAGCATGCCTCCTCCACGCCACGGAGCCTGCTCTGTGCGCATCTGAGCTCACAGGTGAGGGGCCGGGCTGGGTGCACACCCTCCCACTGCGCAGAGCACGCCGGACCTCAGCACCACAGAGAACACAAGCCCTGACCACTGTGGCCCCATGCCGCCACTGCGGGCACCTCACCTTCAGCTCAAGGATCAGACCTCTGGTCTGGAGGAGGCCGTAGCGGTCCTGGCCCTTCACTGCAGACAGCAGGAGGCTGGTGTCCCTGAGGAAGCGGAGCAGGTCCTCTGAGGAGGTGGAGAAGGACTGCTGCTGCTGCACCAGCTGGGCGACCTCTAGCTTCCTCTGCCGAATGCCCCGGACCACACTCTGCCACCGGTCCACCAGTTTGGAGAATTCTGAGACAAATTCCGGTCTGAGAGAAACACATGGTTAGAGAATCCTGGCATGAATGTGGCCATAAAGAACAATTATCAGGACGGAATAAAGGCCCAAATACACTATTTGTATGTACAATTTACACACAAGCAGGCAAAATCTGAGCTCTCTTCAACATTAGGGGCACTTTGGGGGGCATAGGATTTTGTCAGCAGAAATAAATAAAAGATCAAAAAACGTATATTTAAAAAAAAACCCCGAACCTGATTTTTTTAAATAGGGCACCATTGGGGCCGGGGAGATAGCTCAGTAGAATAAGTGCTTGCCTGGCAAGTGCAAGGCCCTGAGTTCAATCCCTGGTTCCGCAAAAAAAAAAAAAAAAAAAAAATAGGGCACCATGAGAAGGAGAAAGAAGAAAACACACTGAAGAATCATCATTGTGGTATTTCCCGAGGCTTCTGCAATGCAGGCTGCCTCTACACAGTGTAGGGTCCATCAATATATTTATGGCCAGTGAGCCTTGGTCCCGACGTACAGCTGGAGACCCGGCATGGCAAGCCACCTGCCAACGTGCTGTGGGGCGCAGTGTGCGCGTGTGTGTTGGTTCCTGTACAGCCAGTGGGGCAAGAGCACCAAGGACTAGCATTGTTCGGCTCAGTGAGGAGACCACTGCTCCCCAATGTGCTGTTATGTATTTTATGGTGAACTGTGAGAAAAGATGACTCACCTTGACTCGATCAGCACATGCTGCACACATTTCCTGATCTCTCACACCGCATCTCATAGGTGTGTATACACAAATACTCGGATCCCCCAGTCTGCCCTCACCAACTGCATTCGTTTCCCAAGTCCCAGATGACTTACTTCTTCTCTACTTCAACAGTGTCCAGGAGCTGTAAGGACTGGGTGACGTAGGAATCAGCAATCGTCTGGTGCATAGAAACTTCAGCTTCTAGCGTCTGTGTATTAGTTAAAACCATAAACCATCAGCTAGTAGAATTTAATTCTGAATCTGAGCTTATATCTCTCAATAAAATCTAAGCTCTCAGAGGAGATAGAGATGATTTTTT